AATTAAATTTCTCCATTGTCCCCAAGATGTATTTTATAGCTTCACCTTCCTTTGTCTTCCCTTCTTTCTTTGCCCCTTCCACTTCCCTTTCTTCCCTCTTACTTTTACCTTTTGAACCAGGATCCAATCTAGGTTTATGCCTTGCAGATGACATTTCTTTCTTTTTTTTTAAAAAAAGATTTTATTTATTTATTTATTTGAGAGAGCAACAATGAGAGACGGAGAGAGAGCACATGAGAGGGGGGAGGGTCAGAGGGAGAAGCAGGCTCCCCGCTGAGCAGGGAGCCCGATGCAGGACTCGATCCCGGGACTCCAGGATCATGACCTGAGCCGAAGGCAGTTGCTTAACCAACTGAGCCACCCAGGCGCCCCGCAGATGACATTTCTTTTTAAGACTAAAACAGAACCCCCGCTCATTTTTCAAGGCATTGACTTTCTGAAGAGTTTCAAGACTGTTGTCTTTTTTTTTTGCCCAAGGTTTATTGAAGATAATACAGCACAGCAAAAGAGATCTAACTCATAGGAAAAGACTATTGTCTTATACACTGTTCCCATTCTTAATTTATCTAAATTGTTTCCTTGTGATGTCATCTAATTCATTCCCCTAACTTATGCTCTTCCTGTAAACCAGCATTAGAACTACAGACTCGATTAGATAGGGGCTACACAGAGTTGGCAAGAATCTGGCATGAGTCATACTCTGTACTTCACGGTGCACCTTACATCCACCACGGCACAGGCTGTCACGCTGCTCGTGGTGGGTTGATGGACAACCAACCCTAGACCTCTGGCTGGAGAAGTGTCAGCCCCTTTGTGATTTGTAAGTAACCCGCCCTGTGCCGACGGGCCAGATTTTGACATACTATTCCAGGCAGAGGGCAAACCTAACTAAGGTAAAAAGGGAATGGGGAATGGTCTGATGCCATGGGCTCTGAGGAAGGAGTGGGCAGGAAGGCTGCCATTGGACACCTGGAAGCTGGAGTGAGGAACGAGAGTCCTGTTCAGGGGCAGAGGGGAGCTGGGGGGGTTCTGAGCTGAGGAATAATTACAGCAACAATTGGAACAGCCCTGGGCAACAGGACAAAGGGTTTCCTCGGACAGTCAGTGGACAGGAGGGGTTGGGGCATCTCTGCCCACACCTTCCTCGGGCCATCTGCCAGCCTGCCTGGGTGCCCCAGGAGCAGGCAAGCCTGCATATTCCTGCGGGACGCGAGGGACTCCCCTAGCCCCCAAAGCAGAACAGAAACAGCTGTGGGGAGCAGGGCGGGGCCCCCGGGACACTCCGGTGGGGCCCCAGGATGGTAGGAGGGCCACCTCCAGGGCCCCTGGGGGACGATCCTGCCTAATTCTTCCCCGCCTCACCCCACTCTGCTCAGCTCACCTCTTTGGGTCCATAAGAAGAGCCGCTCACATGTACTTGGCCCTTCCCGCCATCTGGGCACCTGCCTGGCCACACCCTCTTTTATACTGTGGTAAAATATCCGTATCATGAAATTTACTTTTTAACCACTTCTAAGTGTTCCGTTCAGCGACATTAAGTACATTCACAGCGTCGTGCAACCATCACCGTCATCCATCTTTAGAACTTTATTACCTTGCCAAACTCAACTGCCGGACCCATCAAACAATTAACTCCCACTTCCTCCTTCCCCCCAGCCCCCCCGGCAACCACCAATCTACGCTCTGTCTGAGTTTCACTACTGTAGGAATCAGACAGTATTTGTCTGTCTGTGGCTGGCTTATTTCACTTATCATCATGTCCTCTAGGTTCATCCCTGTTGTAGCAGGTGCCGGCACTTCTCTCCTTTTTAAGGCTGAATAATATTCCGTCGTATGTGTGCACCATATTTTGCTTCTCCACTCACCAGTCAGACACGCGGGCTGTTTGGTTATTGTAGAGAATGCTGCTATGAACATGAATGTACAAATATCTCGTCAAGTCCCTGCTTTCAATTCTTTTGTGTATATCCCCAGGAGTGAGATTCCTGGCTCATACGGTAATTCTCCGTTTAATTTTTTGAGGAACTGCCCTCCTGTTTTCCATGGTGACTGTTCCATTTTACATTCTCACCACCAATGCACAAAGGTTGCCATTTCTCCAAACCCTCACCGATCTTGTCTTTTTTTTTTTTTTTTTTAAGATTTTAGTTTTAAGTAATCTCTACACCCAGCGTGGGGCTTGAACTTACAGCCGAGATCAAGAGTCATGCTCCTGAAACCAATTCATTGAATTTAAATAAAAATAAATAAATTTTTTAAAAAGAGTCATGCTCTATTGTTTGTCTTTTTTATAGTAGCCGTCCTAATTGGTGCAAAGTATTATCTCCTTGTGGTTTTTTTTTTTTTAATTTTTTTATTGTTATGTTAATCACCATATATTACATCATTAGTTTTTGTCCTTGTGGTTTTGATCTGCATTTTCCTGATGATGTGGGATGCTGAGCATCTTTTCATGTGCTTGTTGACCCTTTGAATATCTTCTTCGGAGAAATACATATTCAAGCCTTTGCCCATTTTGTTATTAGGCTGTCTGTACCTTCTTATCTCCTTGGATTCTCACAATCTTGTGCACTGATACCTGCTTTTATTGCCCTCTGATCACAGACGGAGAGATTGAGGCTCACAAGGACCAAGCAGCTTGCCCCAGACACCAGTCAGTGAGAGTTCCTGGGATTGTCTGAATCCATGACATGTGCCCTTCCCAAAGCTTGTCCCTGCCTCCCAGACAAGTGCTCTTGGTGTCTGAAGCCGCTGCACTGGATATCCCACCGTGAGAGCCAGATCTAAAGGGGAGTAAAGACCACCAGTGCCAAGATGTCTGCGGAGTGTTGTTTAAACTGACATAATAAAGATGTCCCAAGGACGGAGGAGTCCTTTTCTGTTGTTCCGGCAGAATGAGTTATGTCTAGAACTCCAGGAAAGCGGGCCCATGTGAGAGTCCAGAGGAGTCAGCACCACATGAACTAGACGCTCCCCATACTCCTCCTCCCAGACACACAGCTTGGCTGTACTTCCCAGCATCCCTTGCGGTCAGGGTGGCCATGTGACTGAGCTCTGCCAACGGCAGGTGGACAGAAGCCAGAAGCCCCCTTCCCGGCCTGGCTCCCAGCGGCCTCATTTTCCTGTAGAGGAGTCCAGGTCCTGGAGGAGGGCAGGACCAAGAGAAGGAAGGAGCCTGGGTCCTTGCATGGCCATGTGCAAGGTCACCTACAGACCAGGATCGGATGTCACGGGAGAAGAAGAAAAGTTTGTGTGGAATCGAGCCACTGAGATTTTGGAGCTGTTTGTTGCAGGAAGCAACCTTTCCTGACTAATACACTCTCCTCTGCGTTGACGCTTGAAGGGGGAAGGTTGAGGTTGGGTTGTTAAATCAGTGACTAAACGAATGAATGAATAAATGAATGAATATGTTGCCTGAAGCTCTAGACTTGGGGACTGAATGAGTGATTTCATCAGATCCTCCTGACAAGAGGTTTGGCAGGGGCCAGGCTTGGCGGACAAATGTCTGGGGTTTGGCACCTGTGTAGCTATTCCCCAGGTCCTCATGTCTAGTCCTGGCTCCCTACCGCCTCACAGGCTGACCTTGGGCAGGCCAGCTCACACGTCAATAACGTCAAGGGCTTCCCCACTGGGAGAGAGGGGGCCGCTAGCCCACCTTACCGGGACAGCAGATGCCAAGGAAGCAAGCAGACACTGTTGTAGAGGATTTATTTTTTCAGAAGGCCTGAGCGACACGGGCAGGACAGGAGGGGAGGGGAAATCCCAGGATGCTGGAGGGCCCTATGCACGGGCAGTGGGCAGGTTAGCACTCCAGGGAAGAGTTTTATTCCCCAGGTCTTGGACCTAAGTCCCGCAGCCACCCCATAAGATGGGTATTCCCATTCTCAAGTGAGGCTCAGAGAGGTTCAATGGTCTCAGAATCCCCGAGCAACGACCACCCTGCTGCACCACCCCAGGCCCCCTCGGAAAGAAACAAGCACTTATAAAGTTCATTTCTTTTGCCTGGTGAATCTACGTTCCCCAAGGAAGTGCAGATAAGCCCCAAATCCCAGTCCCTATGCTGACCCCTGCCAAATCTTCACCCAAGGCTCTTTCATTTAACTATGCCCCGCACACTCCCAGGGCCAGAAAAGCTCCGCCTTGTCCCCCTCCCACACAGTTCTTAAAATTCTTCCATTCATCCACTTGGCCTCTTAAGCATTTGCCCTCTTTTCTTATAAAAATACAGCTAGAGTTTGTTAATACCAAGCCAAGGGTAGTCATTCACACCATAGCGAAAATTTGGTTACTGTTATTTGGGAAAAAAGAAAGGGAAAGTGGGGGACTCTGAAGAGGTCAAACCTGGGTGTTGGAGGTTGGAGGAGCAGTCAAGACCAGAGGGAAATAAGAGGAGTAAAGAGGTGACACATAAAAATAAAATGGGGAAGAAAGGTGAATCTGGGCAAATTTGAGGCTTCACGAAAGTTGACTCAGCTGGCTGCTTTCTAGATGAACTTGAGTCTCTGTATTGATGTGTGAGGGTCTTTGGGGGTTGAGAGCTGGGAGAGGAACATTACTTTTATTGATTCAGCCTCTAGCCATTCATTGAGCCCTGATTCTGAGCCAGGCCCTGTGCTCTGTGTTAGAGGCCAGGAGACAAAGTAACTCAGATGTGGGACCTTGGTCTAGCCAGTGGGGCTGAAGGACAAGCCCCCAAGTCCCGAGAATTCTGGGCAGACTGATCGGGGCTGTTAAGAGAGGGCAGAGGGTCAGGGGACATCTGAAAAATAAAACTCAATTGCTTGCTGCTTGGGTTGTGCAATGCCTTGGAGGGCCGGGAGGGTTGGACACACATAGGTGATGGAGAGACATTCTGGGCATCTGGAGCAGCCTGGAGAAAGACCTGGAAGTGGATGTGTACAGCATGAGTTTGGAAAACAGGGAGCTGGAGTCCAATATGCGTGAAGGGAAGTGAGGCAGGGCTAGAGGCAGGGGTGCCAGGCTCCCGAGCTTTCACCTCAGCCTGGGGCAAAAATGGGGAGCCATGGGAGGGTTTTGAGCCAGGGAGTGACTGAGCAGGACTGTGGCCTCTCTGGCTATGGTGGTGGGGCAGAGGATGGTTTGGAAGGATAAGAGGGGAATTAAGTGACAGTGTGGAGGCTTGTCTGAGGATGACAGCTTCAGGGAGACAGAGATAAAAGATGGTGGAGAGACTCGTTGGCACAGGCTTGTGTTGGGGGGCAGCTGTAATGGCCAGGAGGTGGGGTTCTGTGAGCCTTTCTGGACGAGCCAAGCCCATGAGTCCTCATGAGTCCAGTTTCTGGAGAATCTTCTTCACCCAGGGCATTCTGGGGTCAGCACAGATCTCCCGGTCCTTGACAGTTAGGAAGCTGGAAGGAGGAGAGAATGAGGGAGCATTAGCATGCGGCAAGAGTGCCACAGCCCTTCTCTGGAAGCTTAGCATTTATGTGTCACTTACTGTGGGCAGAGATGCCCACCATACAGAGTCACTTAGCATGTATGAGGCACCTGCCCCGTGCAGGAATACCAGCTATATAGAGTGGCTCAACATTTATGAGGCCCCTGCTGTATGTAAACACACTTTTCCAGGGGGCGAGGGGGAGAAGAGCAGCTAGGACTTCCTGGACTCTCAGTGCCTCGGTCCTGGGCTTGAGTGCCAGGTCAGGCCAGGGAATAAAATGCCCAGGAGTCTCGGGACCATTGCTGACATTGCCTTGGGGGAGAGAATATTGAGTAGGAGCCAAGAGCATGAACTTTGGAGCCAGCTCATCTGGGTTAAAATCCTAGCTCTGACATTGCTAGCAAGTCCCTTAGTTTCCACATCTGTAAAATGGGGATGATAATCATGGCCCAACCTCATAGGATTTGAATGAAGATTAAATGAGTTAATACAAACTGACGTGCTCAGAGCAGCTCCCAGCTGAGAGTAAGGGCTCTGTGACTGCGCCAGGAGCTGGCCCGAACTCTTAACAATGATTTTCTAAATAAATCCTATGACGCCCTATTATTCTACCCATTTCATAGGTGAGGAAAGTAAGGCCCAAGGGGGTAAAGCAGCTTGCCTGAGTGCCAGAGCTGGTACGATCTGATTCACTGTGCCCCCAGGAGCCCAAAGAACAGAGAAGAGAGCTAGGCACTGACCCAGGATCACACAGCAATCGTGGGCTAAGTCTCCCACCCTTGCCCAAGGTGTGGTAAGTAGCAGGCCAGGCCCTTGGGGCACTCGGCCTCAGCCATTGTTGGAAGAAATGGACTTAAAGCTGGCTGGAAGTCAGGGACATCCGCACAGCTCGACTCCCTTCCTGCCTCTCAAGAGCCTGTCCTTGGGGCCTGGCAGCTCCAGGCTCCCCTTACTCCCCTGACCTGCCCCCACCCCCAGACAACCAATGAACAGAAAGAACAAAGAGGGCGGCAATGTTGTTCTTGGCCACGTGGGCAGCCTGCCCGGCTGCACCAGGCAAGACTCAGGTCCTCTCTGAACCTCAGTCTCCCCATTTGTCAAGACACAGTCTCTCTAGAGTTCCTTCTGGCTCTAAATCCAATAATCACGTGTGCTGTCTTGTACTGAGCATCTATTATATGCCAGGCACTGAGCATTACACCTTCCACTTACTATTACCATGTCCCGTGCTGCTCAAGAGGTCCCATAACCTCTCTGTGCCCCTTGCCTCACCTGGCAAAAGGGGATCACAACAGTACCCACAACTTAGGGTTGTTTCAAGGACTAAATGAGTTCAAATTTATGAAGTGCTTAAACAGTGCCTAGCATTTAGCAATTACTCTTTACAGATTTGATAAATAAAAATAAATGAAGGAAGGGTGCCTGCACGCTCAGTGGGTGGAGTGTGCAACTCTTGATCTCGGGTTTGTGAGTCTGAGCCCCACGTTGGGTGTAGAGATTACTTAAAAGTCAAATCCTTAAAAAAAAAAAAAAGCCAAATCCTTAAAAATAGATGATAGATAGATAGATAGATAAATAGATAGATAGGTAGATGTGATCGCTTCTGTTACAGTGATGGGGAAACTGAGGCTCAGCACTGAAGCCACACAAACCCACTTCAGCCCTCTGTTATTCATCCACGCACCCCTGTGAGGGATGGAAGATGAGTATGGAGGAGGAAGATGAAAAGATGATGGAGCCTCAAAGGGGGTCATGAGGCCCCAGGCCCAGACACGGCGCTGAGCACATTGGCAGGCAGCAGTCTGGAGGGGCGGCCCCAGGGACAGGCCATGTCACCCGGCCAGTGGCAATGGCCGCCTCAGGCTCCAGGCCAAGGAAAAGGAAGCAAAGACATGGAGAGAAAGAGGCAAAAGAGAACAAGAACCTCAGGAGAAAGCCCTGAACGGGGATCCAGGAGTCCCGGTTCCAGCGGGGGCAGCCTTGAACAAATCAGTCCCCCCCACACACACCCCCCGCACCTGTTTCTCCATCTGCCAAATGCAAACGATCACGCTCGTCGTAGGAAGGCTGTGAGGGTGACCCGAATTCACACAGGAACGCTCAGAACCGCGCCTGGCCGCCTGGCCAATGGGATACATTCTCTGTCAGCTCAATACTCTTTGGGCAAGAATGGGCTGCCTCAAATAACTCCCAGTGAGCTGGGGAGGATTCCAGATGCTTCTGATGGGAGCATCACTGCTGACTCAGAGGCTCTGGGCACGCTGCCGGCACCCTGCTCCGCGCGCTGCAGCTCCACGCTGCCCACGCACACACTCTATCGTGTATACGGACAGCCGGCGCCTGGCTCATTCAGCTCCGCATCCTCGGGACCCGGCGCGCGCCCCGGCACGCAGTAGGCGCCCCATTATATTTGTTGAATGACGGCACGACTTCTTTTCTTGGTACACCCAAGCCTGGGCTGAGCCGTTTCAAGGATGGAGGCCAGTGGCACTCCTCCCATCCCTGGGTCTGCCCCCGCCCACCTGCTCCCGGGCCCTCCTGGGCCAAACCTGGCAGGCTCTCCAAGGCCAGGCCCTGCCTCCCCAGCTCCATACTCACACCACGCCAGGCCTCCGGCACGAGTCTGAGGTCCAGTAGAAAAACTTCAGCATGCGCGGAGGCAGAGGGTGACGGAAGTAGTCCCGGCAACAGATACTGTCTTCCACGTTGGCGCCGTAAGGACCTAGAGGAGGGGAGTGCTCAGAAGACTCACCAGCTGGACACAGGCCGGTCACCCTTGGCCCCAACCTCTGAGTCAGCACTTCTATTCTCATGTGGAAGGTTGGTGTCCCGAGGACTCTGAGCCCTCAGAGTCCCCAGGCTCAGGGTCTCTGAGGAGCACCAAGGGCCCAGTCTGGGGTGGGGGTGGGGGTGGGTCAGCTCCGGGGAGAGGAACTCATAGCGACTGAGAATCAACAAAGCCCTGGGCTTCTAGGTGGGACCCGAGACTCTGCACAGGAAGGCGCCCCAGCTATTCAAGGTGAGGCCCATGCACCGGCACCATCAGCATCACCTGGGAGCTTGTCAGAAATGCTTGGCGCCCAGCCCCAGCCTGATCCCACTTCAGAGCTACCGGATCCAGACTCCAGGGGTGGGAGGGCTCGGGGTCTGCACCTTCAAGCTCCAGCCCTGCAGAGTCAGACGTGCATTTTGAGGAGGCCCCAGGCAATCAACAGAAGTCGGCTTCAGCTCACACCTGCTCCAGGCTTCGGGGTGCACGCGGGGAGGCTGAGGTTCAAAGAGGAGGCTGTCTGGCCCAGGGTCACACAGCATGACTCTGGAGAGTCAGGGTAAGGGCTCAGGCAGAGTCCAGTCGTGCAGACCTGGGTTCGAGTCCTGTTCTGCCCCGAGTCACCAGGCCACCCTGGGCAAGTTTCCTAACATCTCTGAGGCCCACTTGTCTCCTCTGACCAAAGGGGTGATGATAGTACCAAACCAATGGGGCCTTTAACACAGGAAAAGCTCCCAGGAACCCCCCAAACTGAGTCATTATTGTTCCTAGCTGCCTGTCTCCCAGTCCAGTGCTCGTGCCCTGACCCAACACCAGAGAAGTTAGGGACTCAGTGTTGAGGGCAGGCTCTGGCGCAAACATGAGGTGGTAGGAGAGCAGGACCAGCTTTCCGAAAGAATATCCCTTACCCCAGCTCCTGCCTTTTTTTTTTTTTTTTAAGATTTTATTTATTTACTTGACAGAGAGAGACAGCGAGAGAGGGAACACAAGCAGGGGGAGTGGGAGAGGGAGAAGCAGGCTTCCCGCGGAGCAGGGAGCCCGATGCGGGGCTCGATCCCAGGACCCGGGGACCATGACCCAAGCCAAAGGCAGATGCTTAACGACTGAGCCACCCAGGCGCCCCCCAGCTCCTGCCCTTTCCCATCCCAGATGGCCCCCTTTGGTGGATCCTTCTCCATACCCCAAGGGTCCTATGCTTGAGTTCTCCGGACTAGAGGACCCCAGGCCATGCCCCCTACCAACTGAGACAGATCCTAGACTCCAAGCCTTCAAGACTACCCATTTCACAGATGTGTAAACTTAGGCCCAGAGAAGTACCGTGACTAGCCCAGAGCCAGCAGCAAACTGGGGTCATCTGCTCTCAGTCCGGTGCTCTTTCTGCTTCATGAGGAAGATACCGCAGTGTCTGACCCTGGCCCCCGCAGGGAGCCCTCCCTCTCCCCAGCCTTACCTGCCTCAGTTGCTTGAAGTGTCAGAGCAAGAAAGACAAGGGCAGCCAGGAGCGGGTTCTTCAGGCTGGCCATGTTCTTGTTCTTTGTGCCCCAGCCCAGGTGTCTGTAATCACCGGATGATGGGAAGGTCTGGTATTTAAACACTTGTTACACCCACCAGCCTCAGACACTCTTAGTCACTGGTGGCCTCAGAATCTCTGACATTCACATTATGAAAGAAGAACTCCCGCTTCCTCCAAATAAAAGGAAATTCTCTGTGGCTGGGAACAGCTCAGAGGGGACCCCCCACCCTGTCCTCCCCTCTGAGTCTCAGGAGACTTGTAAAATCCCCCATGAGCTGGGCTTCTTAGAGTCCTGTGCTCCCCAGGGTCCACGAACTGGACGGCCCTCACCATGTCGCTGGATGTCTCTGGGAATCAGTTTGCCCGTCTGGAAATGAGGGAGATGGATTTACTTCAGTGGTTGTTCGTAAGGCAGTGAGGATGTGGGCAGGGGCTGACCAGTCCTAAACCCTCACCTTGTAGCCTTGATGATCTTCATACCTGATCTCTCTTCAAAAGGAGAGGCCTGAGAACCTGTTGGGCTGGTTTCTGTGCCCCCCCCACCAGCATCTTCTACCGCTTCTCACAAAATCCCAACTTGGGCCAATGCATGATCTCCTCAACAGTTGGAAAGAGCTTCCACACATTTCCCTCCTGCCTGTTCTTCCTTCCCAGCTGTCTCCAGTCTCTTCCTCATCCACCCCCTTCTCCATCTCTCACCATATCCACTTCCTATATTTCTCTTGGATCTGTCCCCTCCCTCCCATGCCCATGGTCCCTGCCCAGTCCAGGCCCCTCCACCCCGGGCTCTGACGCTGGCCGTCAGTTCTCTCTCTCCACACACAGCAGCCAGCGTGGCCCATGTTCAAAGCTGCATGGGCCTCTTTCCTGCTTCAGAACCCTGCTGTGGTCCTTTGACCTGAGGGCAGAGCCCAAGCTCCGAACTGTGGCCTTCAAGGCCTCCTTTCCAGACATGCTCCCTCCCACCCTGGTCTCCGTCCTCTGAGGGGTCATGCCACATTCCTCACACTTCCCCAAAGAGCTTGGCCATCAATGCCCTTTCTACTTCTCTACCGCATAAACTCCTACTCATGCATCAAGAGCCATTTGAAATGTCACCTTCTAGGTAAGCACACCCCCTCATGACTTGAAGGTTCTGTGGGGTGACCTAGAACATGGCCCTGAGCAAACTACGTCAAGTTTTCTCTTTCTCAGACCCCTTCCTAGAAGCCAAGCTCCACACTCTTGGAAGACAAGGGTCTGCTTATATCTGTCTTGGCATTTCCAGCATCTACCAAGAATGGGGTACACAGTGGGTGGTCAGAACACATCCAGCGAAGGAGGAAACTGAGGCTCAGAGAATAAGGGGACTTGCCCAAGGTCACACAGCTGGTAAGTGACTGAGCCAGCCTAGAAATTCAGGACTCAGCCCTCCATTTGCAAAGGGTCCCATCCATCCATTTATTCATTCATTCAACAAATATTTATTGAGCCCTGTGGTAGACAAAATAACGGTCCTCCCAACATGTCTTAATTCCCGAAATCTGTGAATATATGACCTTACATGGTAACAAGGACTTTGCAGATGTGTTTAAGTTAAAGATTGTAAAATAGGGAGGTTGTCTGGATTCTCCGGGTGGGCCCAACGGCCTCATGGAGTCATTATAAGAGTGGGTCAGACTCAGAGCAGGAGGTGGAATGAGGGAAGCAGAAGTCTGGGAGATGCAGAACCATGGGCCTGGGAATGCAGATGGCCTCTCTGGAAGCTGGAAAAGGCAAGGAAACAGATTCTCCTCTGGAGCTTCCAGAAGGAACATAGCCCTGTTGACACCTCGATTTCAGTCCACTGAAACTGACTGAGGACATCTGACTTCCTGAACTGGGTTTGTGTTGCTTAAAGCCACTATATTTGTGGTCATCTGTTACAGCAACAAGAGGGAACTAATACGAGCCTCCGTCATGTGCCAGGATCCGGGACATGGCAGTGAACACATCCCTGCAGCGTAGATTTTACCCTGGAGGCTGACGATAAATAGGCACATACCAAATAGGGTAATATTGGGCTATCGTGAGTGCCGTGAAGAAAATCAAACAGAGGAAAAGAGACAGTGACGACTGGGGAGCAGTTTTGGGTGGTCAGTAAAGGCCTCTATGAGGAGGTGACATTCAAGCTGAAATGCACAAGATACCAAGAAGCCTGCCAGGGAAGAAAAGGCAAGTGCAAAGGACCTCGCAGGGCAAGGGGCTCCTGGGTGGCTTAGTCAGTTGAGAGTCTGCCTCTTGATTTCAGCTCAGGTCATGATCTCATGGGTCGTGAGATTGAGCCCTGTATCAGGCTCAGCGCTCCACACAGAGTCTGCTTGAGGATTCTCTCTCCCTCTCCCTTTGCCCCTCTCCCTGCTTGCATGCTCGTGCTCTCTCTCTCAAATGAATAAATACATCTAAAAAAAGGCCCTGACAGGGAGAGAGGGCTGAGCAGCTGGGGCAGAGCGGGTGGGGCAGCAGGAGGTGGCCAGGTGGTTCCTGTGAACCTCCGATGGAGAGTCATCAGAAGTACACAGCATCACCTGGGAAGACCTCGTGTCAGAGGGCGTTACCCAAGGCCAGAAGGACAGACACTGTATGATTCCACTTCTGTGAGGTTCCAAGTCATCAAATTCATAGAGACAGACAGTAGAATGATGGTTGCCAGGGGCTGGAGGGAGGAGGGAATGGTTAGGGTTTAATGAGCCCAGAGGTTCAGTCTGGGAAGATGGAAAAGTTCTGGAGATGGGTGGTGGTGATGGGTGCACAGCCACGTAAATGTACTTAATGCCGCTGAACTGTACTCTCAAAAATGGTTAAAATGGTAAATTTGATGTTATATATATTTTATCAGTTAAAAAAAAAAGAATGGCTCAGTTGGAGGAGCATGATCTCGGGGTTGTGAGTTCGAGCCCCACGTTGGGTATAGAGATCACATACATACATAAATCTTAAAAAAAAAGAAAAACACGAAAGCATACGGAAAGATGCTCCACATCGTATGTCATCAGGAAAATGCAAATTAAAACAACAGTGAGGTACCACAACGTGCCCATTGGAATGGCCAAAATCTGGAACACTGACAGCACCAGATGCTGGTGAGGATGCGGACCGAGAACCCCAATTCATTGCTGGTGGGGATGCAAGATGGTCCAGCCACTCTGGAATGCAGTTTGGCAGTTTCTTACAAAATGAAACGTACTCCCAGCATAGGATCCAGTGATCACGCTTCTTGGCATTTCCCCAGAGAAGTTATTTATGTCCACACAAAAGCCTACATTCATATTCATAAATGCCGAAACTTAAAAGCAACCAAAATGTCCTTCAGTAGGGGGATGGATAAACTGTGGCATATTGAGCCAATGGAATATTCTTCAGCGCTAAAAAAGAAATGAGTTATGAGTTATCAAGCCATGAATAGACATGGAGGAATCTTACATTTACTTAAATATGACTAAGTGAAAGAAGCCAGTGTGAAAGGCTGAATACTGTATGATTCCAAGTCTACGACATTCTGGAAAAGACAAAACTATGGACACAGTAAAAAGATTGGTGTTTGCCAGGAGTTAGGGAGAGGGAGAGATGAATAGGCAGAGCACAGAGGACTTTTAGGGCAGTGGAAATACTCTGTATGATACCACAATGATGGGTATATGTCAATAGCATATATTTGTCCAAACTCATAGAAAATGTAAAGCCAAGGGAAACCATAACATAAACAGTGTAATTAAGTGTATGTCAATGTGGGTTCACCAGCTGTAACAAATGGCCCACTCTGGCTGGGGATGTTGATAATGCGGGAGGCTATGTATGCGTCGGGGCAGAAGGTACATGGAAATTCTCTGGACCTTCCTCTCAATTTTGCCGTGAACTTAAAACTGCTCTAAAAAACTAAAGTCTTTAAAAAAAAAAAAAGAAAGAAAAGAAAGGATAGGTGTTACCCAGAATCTAATCAAGCTTCTAATCCTAACTTCTAGTTTGTAAGAAATACAGAGGCTAGAAGAAGATGAACGACCTCATGAGAAGATAGACATCTCCGGAAGGCCCCTCTACAAGGTAACTATCCTGAGATCAACAAAAAGTCAATGTTATTTTAAAAAAAAGGTGGATAGGGACATTTAAGGTTAAGGAGATTTAAGAGACATAACAGCCCAAGATGTGCAATGTGTGGACTTCGAATCCTAGTTTTGGAACACCTGCTACAAAAGGCATTTTGGGGACAGATGGGGAAATTTAAATATTAGATGATATTAGGGCTTTATTGTTGATCTGCTTAGGTGGAATAAAGACTTTAAGAATATGTAAGAAAACGTCCTTGTTCTTAAGAGATGCACACTAAAGCATTTAGGGGTGAAGGTCATGAGGACCTTACTTTTGAAGAGTCCATGTTCAGGGGAAATATATATGTGTGTATGTACGCGTGTATATGTAGGCATGTGTATATACAGATGTGTGTGTATATGTGTGTATATGTACTGTGCATGTGTAAACGTGTGTGTTTGTATATAAGTGTATGCTTTGCGCATATGCGTGTGTGTGCATATATGTGGTTTTGTATGTCCATGTACTTGTGTATATATACTGATATCCCAGAGAGGGAAAGAGAGAGGCAAAGCAAATATAGCCAAATATTAACAATGTTGCAGCTAGGTGGTGGATATGCTAGCCCTCATCGAACTACAAAATTCCTGAGCATTTGAAGTGTTTCATAACGGGTGCCTGGGTGGCTCAGTCAGTTGGGCCTCTGACTCTTGGTTTTGGCTCAGGTCATGATCTCAGGGTCCGGGGATGGAGCCCTGAGTTGGGCTCCGTGCTGAGCGGGGCATCTGCTTGAGATTCTTTCCCCTCCCTCTGCCTCTGCCTCTGCTCCTCCCCACCCCCTCCCCTGCCCCACACCCACAGGCACACGTGCGCACACGCTCGCTCTCTCTCTCTTTCTCTCAAATAAATAAATAAATAAAATCTTTAAAAAAAAGTGTTTCATAATAAAAACATGGAAAAGAAGAAATACTTTTTTAAATGTGGAAGTTATCCTGTGAAAAATT